AAAAAAAAAAAAAAAAAAGTAGAACAAGTGCAAACAGATCTTCAAAAATCAGTTGAGGACTACAAAAATAACTTCTGAATAATAAAAAAATTCACAAAAAAAAGAAAAAGTCTGAGATTTCTTAACCAAATCTTAATACCTCTGTGAGAAGAAAATGTAGCCAGAAAGGTAAGCAACAACCAAAACCTGAAGCCAAAGAATGAAAGAATGATGTTGAAAATGAAGGCATAGTTGTATTAACAACTGGAGATTACTATCTATGAAGTGACAGATGCCTCTTCTACTGTCTCCCAGTCATAACTAATTCACAGCTAAGGCGGCACAATCAGTCTACAAATGAGATGTTAAGTGGAATTAAAGCTGAAATGCCACCCTGTTCCCATTTAGAGGCAAGGGAAGAACAAAAGGTAGCAGGTAGAATAATGACAGGAACCATAGTGTAAAATATAGGAAAGGCAGCACTAGCATGAGATTAGGATGGACAAGAGTGAGTACTATTTGTGATAGGTGGATGGTTGGACTGGATGATTTTTAAGGTCTTTTCCAACCTTGGTGATTCTGTGAAGAGGCTTATTCCAGAGTCTTCACCATTTTCTTATTTGATTTTCAGCTATGAAAAGATCAGAAAGCTTAGCTCAATTGTAAATTACAGGATTTATCATAACTTGTAGGAACTAATTTAAGGGTAACTGTACGAAGATGAATTGTATGTCAGATACAGCAAATCAGACCATGCAGCTTAATGTTTTTTAATTGCCTTAAACTTTACATGTCATTAAGTGAATAGGCTGCATATAAAGAATTCCTCTCACTCAAGTGTACAAAAGGCCACTGTTTCCTTATAATTAGAAGAGATAAAAAAAAATTAACACTTGAGAAGACTTTGTGATTGAGAAAACTATTGAAAATTACTTAGCATTTAAAAATGAAACACACACCAGCTCTTGCCTTCCCAACCTCCCACCCAAAAAACAAAAAACAAACAAACAAAAAAAAAAACAGAGAAAACTGAAATACATGTCACATCCAGTTAGTGGCAGTTAGAAATTACAGACTATTTAGAAATTTTCAGACATCTCCATTGCCCTATCTGATTTACAGGAAGTGTTGGCTAGCTTCTCAATTCATGAACCTTCTGCTAGAGTTATTGCAAAAAAAAAAAAAAAAAAAAAAAGGAGCAAACTGTGCAGCAGCTGCTTTATAGTTTCAAATGCATGTTACATTACTCATGCCTTCAGGAATTATTCCACTTAAGAGTCCACATTAGGCCACCAGTACAGCTCTTAAAGCTCCTTCTTAGCTTTGCCAATACTTTTCTGACACTCATGAGGTAAAGTTATTAACTGTGAAGGTTGCTTGTGAGGAATCATTATTCCAACTTACAACAGAGTCTTTCCATACGTTGAACTTTTCTCTTAAATTAAATAGGATTGGAATTTTAATTCCGTCTGTTTCTTAGGTCAAACTCAAGAGTTGTCACAGTAGAAAGTATGAAATTAATCATCTAAGACTACACTATATAGTCAGCAGGAAAATAACTTTCTGAAACTGCATTTGGTTAAGATGTTTCACTGTGTGATACGGGGGTGATGTTCATAGATGTTTCTGCACCTCCTTGCCTTTCTTTTTCACTTGGAACATCTTTTTTTCTTTGCAGAACAGAACTAAAGTGTTAATAATAGTGCAGATATAGTATTTCAACTCAGGCACTCATCTTTAACTCATATTTCTTACTACTGAGATAGAAAGTAATAAGGAATTGTGTGTTTAGAATATGTTTATTTTGATCAACCAGGGCAGTTGGCAGTGTTTGATATGTTAGTATATTCCCTGAATCCCACAGTGTAAACTGGTATAAATCAGTAACATATATGATTTTTGTTATGCCATAAGTAGAATTTGAAGAACAGATCACAAGGAACTGGCAACTAGAAATGACATATTAAACTACAGACTGTTACAGCAGAAGTTAAACTCTAGCAGGAATCCTAAGTTTAAATGTACGTTACAAGTTATACAATGATGTTGTACAATTATAAGGGTATGACGGGCGGGTGAAATAGTCATGGCAGACCAGAGTGAAAGCTGTTTTGTCCGATAGCGCCCTCTAGAGATGGAGAGGGAAAATATTTGCAGAAACTTAAATGCTATGGAAGGAAAAAAAAAAAATTTTACCTGTTCTCCACAGAAGAAGAAAAAAAGAATCCTGCGAAGTTTTCTGAAATGAAGCTAATCTGTTCTTTCAAGAGAACTTAGATATGAATCAGCACATATGCTTGTGAAGGGTTAGTGGACCAGGGATCTGAGCACACTGGGGCAACCAATTCATCTGGCATCAAGAACATAGCTGTTGTGCAAAAGAAGGAAAGTAGAAAGAAATAGGCGTGAAACATAACTCGAGAGTTAAGCTACAGATATTTGTTTCTTTTATTAAGATCTGATGTGACCTAAATACTTCCCAGATCTTCGGAAATTAGACTTAAGACAGACCACAACGTTATTAACAGTAGAAATGCACATATAAAATAAAAACGTATAAAAAAAAACAAAAACAAGGGAAGATGACTTAAAACAAGAAGAGATGAGAAATCAAAAGTTATAAAGTAGAAGTAGTTTCAATATTGCAAATGAAAACCACTGGAAGTAACAAAAAAAATCCCAAACAACCATGAATGTAATTTCAAGCTGATGGCGAGATGTGACATCTGATAAAATAGTCAAACTTTGCCACCAGATATCTTAGTCCTTACTGTAGATGGTGCTGTAGCATAGAATATGCACCCTGAGTGCTGATTTAAAGCCAGCTAGCTACAGTTACCAGGTGTGCAGGATTAACACAAAAATTGTTGTGAGCAGCCATGTAAACATGTTGCAATTTATGTCTGATTCATATTTGAGCATAGGATTGTTAAGAAGAACCAAAAATACTTATTGGCAGAGGAGACATCATGATCAGGTGGGTGGCTTTCCCAAGGGGAAGCTTATCTCCAGCATTCCAGGTGTGCCAACCCCTGTGATTTCCCTGAATGCAGGAATGTCAACTGCATAATTTGCATGAGTGGTAGGTGTTTTTTTTGGTGGGTTTTTTTTTTTTTTTTTTTTTTTTTGTTTGTTTGTTTGTTTGTTTTTCATTCTAGGGAATTGGCTGATGTAGTCATCAAGCCACTCTTGATGATATTTGAAAAGTCATGATGGTCAGGTGAAGTCCCCAGTAACTGGAAAAAAGGCAATATCACACTCATTTTTAAGAAAGGTAGAAAGAATGACTCATATTTCCACTTTTTTGTTTGTTTGTTTGTTTTATACTGACTTCTACCTTCACTGGGAATAAATGTGAAGGAATTTTCTCCACTCTAGGAAAATGCATCACTAAAACTATCTTCAGTACATATGGCACAAGAAATTTCAATAAAGCCTCAGAGGACATAAAGTTACCATGACCTGATTCACACTGAAAGATAGCCTGTGTTTGATAAAGAGAAATGAGTGTCTGGCTGAAATAGCTGTACTCCAAACCTGGAGTTTACCTCAGGGCCATGAGTGGCTCCAGCAGCAGGACAGGAGTGGAGGAGGGCACAGCATGGTTCTGTTAACACCCATGTTCCAACAGCCCTATCTCCCATCCTTACAGCATCTTGGGGACTTTTGGGATTTCTCAGTTCTATTGTCTGTGCTACCTGTTAAGGAGTTTAAAGCTATTTGCTTGTCCCTTTCTGCTAGCCAATGCAGATACTTTTTATAAACTGTAGTAATAAAAATTAAACAAACACAAACCTCTATCTTCTGCTTCTCTTTGTTTCAGTGGTGACTCAAATGGACTCCCAACAGTAGCAGAAGCCACTGAATTTTGGTATAGAATGCAAGAGAGGCTCTCTACACTGTCAGTAACAGTAGTCTGAGTGATCGCTGCTGGCAATCTGGATGAAAAGCTATTGTACAATGCTCAAAGCCAGTTCTCCAGCTGCCACAGTTCACCCGATCTGCCTAGAAAAAGGGCTAGTACTGGGGAGCAAGTGAGTTCCTGTTCTTGGAGGCAACGCATTGCCTTATGCTTGTGCAAAACAAGCAGATCTTTGTGATGATTCATTGCTTAACATTTCTACTAAGAGTGCTAAGAAGGCTCCACATTTTTCATTGTACAGAAATATTTATCTCATGGACATGAACAAGTAATTTTCTTGAAAATCAGTGGGGCTACATCAGTATGCAACAGCATAGGATCAAATTCATTTAACACAATAATTTTAAGTTAAAAGCAGTCATGAAAATTAAGGAAATGAATTCATTTAACATGGCAAGAGAAGGTGATATTTCTTACTGTTGCAGAAGTGAAATCAGAGAAGGCTGCAGGGAGACCTTATTGTGACCTTCCAACATTTAAATGGAGATAATAAACATGAGGGAAAACAACTTCTTACACAGCAGATAGTGATAGGACAAGGGGGAATAGTTTTTAAAACTGTAGATGCCACATCCCTGAAGGTGTTCATAGCCAGGTTGGATGGGGCCCTGAGCAGCCTCATCTAGTACTTGATCTAGTGGCTGGCAACCCTGCCTATGACAGAGGGTTGGAACTTGATACCTATTTGCTAAAAAAGGATGTGTTTTCTGAAATACAAGAAAACTCAGAAAAATAATCAGGAAGTTCATCTCTCATCCAGGTATACATGTATGAGTAGTACATACGTATGTATAAATCCAGACATCCTTTCACAGAATCACTTTCCCAAGTCGCTGTGCAAAAAGCCTGGCTTTTCTTCCTTGTGAGATAACCAGTTTTATAACATAGAATAAAACTTCAACTGGCTGTTGCACATTAAAGTTCTGGGTGCCCTGCTGCCACACAAAGGCTGCAGCTCTATTATTAGGATGTTTGCTTGGCAGGAGAAGCAAGTGCTTGAGGATGCATCTGCAGAGTGTGTGGGCCAAGGAGCTCACTAACCTGGCCAGGATCAAAGTGTACAGAAGGTAGATTTCCAGCCACACCACAAAACCTTTCCTGCTTTTTCATTTCATGACAGGTTTCAAATGGAAGTATCTCTACCATAGCAAGACTTCTGAATTTATCACATCAAGAACTTCTCTAAGCAATTTTCTTGTACACTTTTGAGCCTTTTGTATTTAGAAAGGATTTCCTTCTTAATTTCTCCTCTAAGCATCAGGCTTGCTTCTAGAAACAAAGCTTCTGCTGCACTGTAGTGCTTACAGATCATTATCAGTTTATCATTTAGTCAGAGCAGCAGCTGTCTCTTGGGTCTCTTTGTTTCCCCCCCCACCCATTTCACTAAGCACTTTCACATCACTGTATATTCCAGTTCACCCCATCTGGCCACGAATGCTCCACTAATGCTGCTATGCAGCACAGCCTGAGCCAAGAAAGCAATACACAAGAAAGATGTGAGGGAGTGACGCACAGAAAAAAGAAAAAACTGACTATGTAAACAAATCTACATTACAACAAATACTCATGCAAAATATTATTTGAATTACTTATCATCTGCTTATGGGAGTCCTTTCCAGGTACTGTCTTTCCCTACTTGTCTATAAGCTGTCAGCCACCACTCCTAATTTTTTTTTTTTTTTTTTTTTGTCCTGCCATTTTCTGTGTAGTGCTTAACCTGAGAAATTGCAGAAGAGTATTTGTTTCTGATCCTGTCTCATTTTGCCTCCATGGACATGGAACAGGAAGCAAAGTCTATCTCCTTTCCTGTGTGCTGCTTTGAGAAAAAAAGCTCGATCATGTGCCTGCCCTTTTCTGTTCCTGAATTAGTGAGATATTTAAAATCATCTTAGAGCTATGTACTATAGTTAATACCAAGAATAATGATACTTCTTTTTTTCCTCCAAAACTAAAATAACAAAAGCCATTACTTTCAGTGACCATTCAACACAAAAGAAAACTCCCACTAATTTCAAGAGGAATTATTATTTTTTTTTAAAACAACAGCATCGCTGATGCTGTTCCATTCTCTTACCACTGCATATGCCTGCTTTAGCATTGCTAAATCATTGCTAGCATTTTCCATGGCATTTCTTTACAGTAACTTGACTGCTCCTGTAGTATTCTACAGATTCAGTATATGTTGATGTCACTGTTTCAATTCCATGTAGTTTAACTTGATGATTTAAATAAGGAAGTAGCTCAAGTTATAGACAGGAGCTTAGAGGATTGTTTTGAACACTGAAACTCTTGTTTCTTGCTGCTTTTAAAGTCCCATTAGGTTGAAAATGCTTGTACAAATCTGGTTCATCATTTAAATTTCATATTCCACTCCCACTCCCCAAATCTCTTTTCCATTACCTTCATTCAGTCCCTAGATCTATCCTTTCTTCTCAGCCAAGCTTCTTCTAAGTGCTTTAATCTTCTAAAAGTGAAATTGAGTTTCACTGGTAATCTTGAATAAATTATGGCTACTGGAGTACTTTCTCTCTTCAACTGTGGGCTCTATCCACACTTATGGTAGATCAACCTAGACTAGCTGCACCATCTTCAGTGTTAAAGCATTGCATTTGGGGACTTGACCATTTAATGATTGATTATTTAACGCAATGAAGAAATCTAGAAAAATGTAATATAGAAAAATGTAATTTTCAGCACATCAAATCTTGCTTAATGCAGCTATATCATTTGTTCCAGATGTCATTTTCTCCACAGATTCTTATATAAAGTCACAATATTTACATTTGTATGCTTCCCTACCACTGCTTCAGAAAGTAATGTATATCTTCTACTATAGAAGGACACTGGAATACGAATGAACATCATTACCATAAAAAAAGAGTATGCAGTATTTTTAGGAAATCATTAATTAAGAAAAAAATAACAACACAGCTAAGGGCTAGTTAGTTTAAACAGTTCCTGTATCTGATAAGATTCCTTATCTACTTCACAGTATGACACTGATCTGTTCTCTATATTTTTAGCCATAACAGAAGTTTGAGTGCTGCAGCTAAACTGAATGATACACAACCAACCTGAAAATATCTGTCCTAAGAGGTATGTTTTAATTTTGATGTAAAAGTGAGATTTCTTTATATCTTCTTAGCTTTAATGCCCATTCATTAATTTCACTGTTATTAATGTTGTTATTAATATGCTCTTGTTGGTTTAATACTCTTATTTATGTGATCTGTATTTTTATCTGAATTATATTAAAAACAGTTATTCCTGGTTTATTAGAGAACCTAAACTCATAACTTACAATATGAACCAAAATGGGAGACTTTCCAAAAGTGCAACTAATGAGGTGACACAAGTAGAATTCAAGACTCATATGAAAATCCTTTTTTCTCATGTACCAAGACTCACTGACTTGTGCATCATTTATGTTTTAATGTATTATGAGGAGTGGCTACATACCCTCAATAATTATTTCTTCAGCTCTGAAAGACTTAATGAATCACCAGTAGGAGATATTCCAATTACATGCAAATACAGAGTATTACAGAATCTAATATTTTTTAATAAAAAAATGAAGAAATTTATACTGATGTGCCTTAATTCACTAGCACAGTTAAAAGTTTGATTTTTAGAACTTTTTCTCCACAGATGCAGTTCACATTTCCATGGTTTTCCATCATAACATGTCTTGCATTTTCCTAGGATGCAGCCATGTCAGAACTTTTTCTTTCAAATAAACATTTACAGTTTTTATAAAACAAGAACACCACATAGCTAGGCTAAGTTGTGGTCTTAAAAAGAAGAGAAAACCACCAAATATACCAACTCAAAATAATACTGAAAATTTCTACAACTTCACAGTTTTCTGAATAGCTGTACATATTTTCAGAAGAAAAAACTGTCCTGTTTCTATCGCTTTTATATTGTGTGATTCCATCTTGATAAATATTAACTTCCTATATGGGAGGAAAAAAAAAACAAACCAAGTTTTCCTCATTTTGTATTTTCAGAGATTAAAGTTGAGGGAAAAAGAATGGAAATGCTTTGCTGTATTTCATGTTTTTTTTTCCCCACTTAGACAAGCACATTTAAATGATTTAAAAAAAAAGAGGAATGAAAAATATTTTGGCTACTAAACTCCTAGCCAGCTAGTCATGGCTACTGTACTGGTTTTAACATCAGCAGAGA